TCGAATCCAGCAGGAAAGATTTCACGCTTGTCATCCCTTTTCGAATCCAGCCTCAAAGGCCAACCCCTGGTCCCTTCCTTCGAATCCAGAAGCGCTCCAGGCAACCACCTTACTGCCCAGCACACGCTCCAGCCCCAAGTAAGGTAAGCCATCCTTAACCTCGAACCCCTTTCATTTCTAGCATAACATGTACATAACACTTTGGCTCTTTTCGTTTCCACCTACTTAATATGTTTTCAGAGCTAACCCCTTTCGTTTTGTTGTTTGTTTATTTAAATATGCATTAAGTGTTAACTGATTGTAAGGCAATATTAGCATGGCCTTATGCCATGTTACTGTTCCAAAAGTTCAAACGAAAGAAACAGGAAACAGGAGTATGAAACGAAGCCTTTGGTTTCCATACCAAATCCAGGCTCAATCGAAAGACATTCCCTCACTGACTTCCTGGCCCAATCGAAGAAGGCAACAAGGCAAACTTCGCCACACACTGACTTCCAGGCCAATCGAAGGACAGAACCTCACTAGTGCCAGCCCCCAGTCGAAGGATGCAACTCACTGGTGCCAGCCCCAGTCGAAGGATACAACTTGATGTTTCCAGGCCCAGTCTAAGGATACCACTTCGCCCCTGCCAAGGCCTAATCAAAGGACAGGACCTTGCTGCTGCCTTTGCCCAATCGAAGGACAGGACCTTGTTGCTGCCTTTGCCCAATTGAAGGACAGGACTTTCCCGCTGCCAAAGCCTAATCGAAGGACAGGACTTCGCCCCTGCCAAATCCTCAGTCGAAAGTCATGCCTTCACCCTTTTCAGCCCCAATCGAAGGAGGCCAACAGAATGCCGGTCGAAGGTTGCTTTCCCCCCAATCGAAAGACACTTATTTTTTTCTTGTTTTTGTCTTTTTTCCATTTTTTTATGTTGTTTGATACAGTTGTAATAGCGTAGGATCTTATCTTTCTGCATTTTATTTACTTTATACCAATGCTAGTAATTAGGCAAGATAAAAATCAACAAATAAACAAACCAAAAAAAAATCAAAAACACTCTTTAATCCTTACTTAAATATAAAACCCCCAAAACATTCACAAATCAAAAATCCAAAAAACACTCTTTAATCACTACTTGAATTTATTTTAAAACCCACAAAAACACTCAACAAATCAAAACTCCCCCAAAGGGCATGTTATCACCGTTCTACCGCGATACCGGTCGTGCCTATTGCTAGAATGCGTGCGTTAACATCGTCCACTAAAAAACACAAACAAACCAACCATTTTCTAGGAGGAACTACGGTGTTCTGATTCCTTCATTGGATACGTAGGCAAAGGGTCGCGAAACCCTCACGAACGCAATAATCAAAAACCTTTCATTTCCCTTTTAGCAAGCATAGTTGTAGATAAATACCCCATTTAAGACAAACAAACAAAATGGATCCCGTTGAGTACAACGGATGTGAGGGGTGCTAATACCTTCCCCTCGCATAACCGACTCCCTTACCCTTTCTCTTGGTCGCAAGACCATCTTATCCCTCCCCTTGTGGTTTTATCGATATTTCCCCTTCCTTCGGGATAAATAAAGTTCGGTGGCGGCTCTGTGTTTTCTGCCGGTTGTTTCAGGTGGAGGTGAGTATAACTCTATAGAGTTCCAGAAGTTCTATGAGGAGAATGGAATAGAACATGAGGTTATTGCTCCATATACTCCTCAGCATAACGGTCTTGCTGAAAGAAGAAACAGAACTTTGCTTGATATGACTAGAAGTATGCTGAAAGAGAAGAAGTTACCTCACATGTTATGGGGAGAAGTTGTTGCCACATCAGCATATGTTCTGAATAGGTGTCCAACAAAGAAGCTGAAGGAAATTGTTCCTTTAGAAAAATGGACTGGAGACAAGCAAAGTGTTGGCCATCTGAAGGTCTTTGGCTCTGTATGCTACAAACACGTTCCAGATGCTAGAAGACGAAAACTGGATGATAGAAGCAAAACAATGTTACTGGTGGGGTACCACAGTACAGGTGCCTATAAGCTTTATTGTCCAGAAACCAACAAAGTTGAAATCAGCAGAGACGTCATTGTGAAAGAGTCAGAAACATAAGATTGGAACAAGCTTCAATCAGACTCTGGTGTAGTGCCAACACCAGGGTTAGTTTTTGAAAGTTCTGAAGACGAGTCAGAGTCAGAAGATGAAGACTCTGAAGATGAGTCAGAATCTCAGGGAGATTCTGAGAGTGGATCTGATTCTGATCCAGATTCTGATGATGATCTAGAATATGGTGGTGATTATACTTTTGGAAGGGAAAACTCTGAAGACATGGGGTCTGGAGAACAAGTTTCCAGTAGTAACTCTGAAGGTGGTAATTCTGAAGAAAATAATTCTGGACAAAGTCCAGAAGCCAGCACAGTTCTGAGTTCTGGAGAAAATTCAGAACAAGATCAGAAGCCACAGAGAATCAGACGAATACCAAGTAGGTTTGTAGATTTTAGCATGTTGCATGATACTGAAGTAGATTCTGAAGGAGAAATCGTTCAGTGTGCCATGTTAGTAGATTATGAACCAGTGGGTATTGAAGAAATGCTCAAGAAGAAAGTATGGCTGAATGCCATGAAAGAAGAACTTGAGGCTATTGAAAGAAACAAGACTTGGAAGCTGACAGAACTTCCAAAAGGCAAGAAAGTCATCAGCGTCAGATGGGTTTTCAAGCAGAAGCTAAAGCCAGATGGATCAATTGGCAAACACAAAGCGAGACTAGTGGCCAGAGGTTTTCTTCAGAAACCTGGACTATATTACTTTGAGTGTTTGCGCCTGTAGCTAGACACGAAACAATCAGACTGGTGATTGCTTTAGCTGCAAACAGAAATTGGCCTTTGATACATCTGGATGTGAAGTCTGCATTTCTGAACGGTCTATTACAGGAAGAAGTTTATGTGTCACAACCTCTTGGATTTTTGAAAAAGAATCAGGAAGGGATGGTATACAGGTTAAATAAATCTCTGTATGGACTGAAGCAAGCGCCCAGAGCCTAGAATTTGAAGATTGATTCGTTTTTCAAGGAACAAAGGTTTCAGAAGTGTGAGATGGAGTATGGTGTTTATGTTCAGCATACTTCAGAAGGTAATATGATTCTGGTCTGTTTGTATGTTGATGACATATTACTCACAGGAAGTTCTGAACAAGAAACAGTTGAGTTCAAGAAAGTTCTGATGAATGCGTTTGAGATGACAGATCTTGGAAAAATGAGTTTCTTTCTAGGGATGGAATTTATATACTCTAAGAAAGGAATCATCTTACATCAGAAGAAGTATGAACTGGAGCTTCTGAAGATATTTGAGCTAGCAAATTGCAAGGTTGCTATCACACCTGCTGATACGAATCAGAAGTTGGATTCTGATTCTGATGGAGAGGATGTGGATGCTACAACCTTCAAACAGATGGTTGGTTCTCTGAGGTATTTGTGTAATACCATACCTGATATTTGTTATGCAGTTGGAATGGTCAGCAGATACATGAGCAAACCAAAGTGGTCCCATTACCAAGTTGCTGTCAGGATTCTGAGGTATGTAAAAGGAACTCTGAAATATGGAGTGTTATTTTCTTCTGGAGGAAAGATCAAATCAGAACTTCTGAGTTACTCTGATTCTGATTGGTGTGGAGATAGAGTTGACAGAAGAAGTACTTCTGGGTACTTGTTCAAGTTTCTGGGAGGTCCAATTTCTTGGAGTTCCAAGAAACAGCCTGTTGTGGCTTTGTCAACATGTGAAGCTGAATACATTGCAGGTGTTGTAGCTGCTTGTCAAGCAGTTTGGCTTCTGAATCTGCTGGATGATCTGAAGGTTGAAGTTGAGGAACCTCTGAAGCTGATGATTGATAATAAATCTGCAATTAATCTTGCAAAGAATCCAGTGCTACATGGAAGAAGCAAGCACATTGAGACGAAGTATCACTTTCTCAGAAGTCAAGTGCAGAAAGGAGTGTTAGAAGTTCTGCACTGTAGCACTCAGAAGCAGCTAGCAGATGTTCTGACAAAGGCGATAAAAACAGACCAATTTCTTCGCCTGAGAGATGAAATTGGTGTTGTTAATTTCTGATAAGTTACTAAATTACGGGATGGTATTAGAGGGTAATTTAGTATTTGTCATTTGTAAATTCATTAGGGCTTATGTGATATTCATTTTGTGTATAAATAGGTGTACTAAGTTTACATTTATTACAATCAATTCTTTCAATCATTAGTGGCAGCTTTTAGCATATATTCCTTTCTCTCTTCTTTCACAATTTCATCACATTGCACTAACAATAAGGGTGCGTGAAGAAGCACTTGAGAATGTGCTTGACTTCAACAAATGGAATCCCGAGATTGATGCCAAGAAAAAGATGACATTGCACGTTGATTTGGAAACAAGCCTCGGGAATGTTTATCTTTTGCAGGTTAGCGCAAGAGTGTTCAATGAGGGATTTGCGTCCTTTGGCTGCAACATTAAGAACCATGATAAGGAAATTATTCTTGCTGCTAGTAGGAAAGAGATCATTTCAGTTGAATCTGTTGTGGACGAATTAATGACTATCAGATAGAGTCTTATTCCTTCCTAAAAGTTGAAACTGGAAAGAGTCCTCATCTAGTCGAATGCTCTCGTTATGATGGATTGTATTAATTCAGTTCTCACAATGTTGTCCTTGAACTCATTATTACAGATTGTGCGTTCTTTTTTAACAGATTTAAGGTTGCCTCAGTTATGTTTTTAAGCAATTTGTTTAATGTGATGCTCACAATCTAATTAGAAAGGGAAATTATATGGTTCTAAAACTTGGATTGAAGATTATCCCTTTGTGAAATATGGTGTTTTTGTTTCCCCTTTTCCTTCTTCTTAATGAAATCATTTTTCCATAAAAATAAAATGAAATAAGAAAATCACAACATAATAGGAGAAAAATTACAAATTTCATTAAATATATAAGAAAAAACAATAAAAGGGATTTCAAAAGGAGAGAACAAAAGAAAAGAAAAAAAACATGTGGTGTTGGTGTTCCAACGTTGTCATCTCAGCACACGCCACACCATGTTTCAAGGCTCTTGTTCTTCCCTCCGTCTCCGCCACCTCTCTTCCACAGAGCCGTCACCACGGCCACCGCCACCGCCAGGAACCAATCACTGAGCATCAAGTTGGGGAAATAGGGCACGCCTTAACAGCGAATCTCGAATCCAATTCAAAACCGGAAAAGCAAGAGATGAGTGGGTCAGATGTACTCTGGGCATTGCAGAGAGCAACCTCTCATAAGAAGATTATCAAGAACAAGAAAAAGAAGGAGCATGAATATGAGCGTGGAAGGGATTCATCCTCTGCAGTCAGTTCCATTGAACAAAATTCTGTGGACTACCATGTTCGACCACTATGCGTAAATCAACATTGGGCCACTAAATTGGATGAACTGGAAATTCGTCTTCGTGACCTTTCAGATACCACTTGATTTCATTTCACACTTTGTTTCTATTTTACGCATGGAACTCAAAGTATTTAGTTTTTCTTCTTTTATCAATAAAAGAAGAAAAAATATATTTATTAAGATACTGCTTTTGAGTTAAGTTAGACTCTATATTTTCATCATTGTGTGGAAATTTCTCAGTAATTTTCTGTTAGATTTGTATAATTGTTTTTTTTTCCCCACTATTTGTGGCATCAACAATTTTATGCATGTGTTTCGTAGTCATTGTATCCGAGGCACCGATGTCTCGGAAAAGCCTAGGAAAAAAAGATGTCTCAGGAAAAGCATAGGAAAATAGGTATATCATACCTATGTCGATGTCTAAAATTGACACAGAAACTTGTGATCGTTTAATTTATTTCTTTTTTTAAGGATGTAACTGTAATGTCATGAAGGATGTATATTATTTCTTATTGTAGTATTTAATATTAGATTTATATATCTTTCATTAACATTTATACTATTTTAACACAGCACTCATTGAATAATAAGAAAAACTTGAGTTACTGAGTCTAAATGCATAGAAGTAGCATCAACATTGCTGATCCAAGATCACAAAATGTTGCAACAAAAAGTCAAGAACTACTGAGCAGTGTGATAAAAACATGGCAAAGTTTGCTGAAACCAGAATAACACAATTTTCTACTGGTAGTCTGTAAAAAATGCCAAGCATTACAAGCAGAAAAAGTTGGGCAGTAATTTACTCAGCTATGACTCATCTAACAGAAATAACACCAACATCAACTTAATAGAATATCACTGGTCCTATTCCTAATTAACTTTTTCTTCATATTTCATTTTTCCCCCTTTTCATGGGTTCAGGATTGAGAAAGGATTTTTCTGTCAATGCATCGGACTCTCCCCCAAGGCCTCCTCATCACCAAGACACCGCTAGGTATGATGAGCCACATTGCATTCGCTGCTTTATATCACTAATAGGGTCGATACCTTCTGTTACGATTTCCTTCATCATTACCACTACCTCCTCCACGCCCTGGCTGACCACCTGGACCATTTCCCCGGTCATTTCTGCGGGGTCGGGGAGCTGGCACCTGTACACCAGGCTGTTGGCTGCGGAACATATAGAATACGAAGATTAAGTATTATATCAAACAAATAATATAATGAAATGAAACCATGTATATGAGCTGCAGCAACTTACAGGACATAGCCAATTCGGCCGTCTGGTAAAACCATTGGAACCATCTGCATTCCTGCTGGCATTGGACCCCTACCGTATATCATTGGCTGTTCAATCATACATGAGAAATCACAAGATGCAAATAGATTAGAACAAAGAATAAACCGAGAAACAAACACCACAATTGTAAATATCTTTTGTGAATTGCTAAATACCTGTTGATAACCAGCAGCTGCAACACCATATCCAGCCCCTATAGAGCCATAAAGATTTCCAGAAAAGTTACCATAACCAGGATGTGGAAGATGGGTAGGATGGAGTCCAGGATTGTACCCATAGCCTCCATCAGGTTTTTTTTCAGCTTGAGGCTTGGCAATAACAACTTCAAGAGCTTGACCTGCAGTTCAAATTCATTAAATATATTTAGTAAATACCACAACAGACTTAAAAGATTATCCATGCATAGATAAGTTGGCTTCACTATATTGTTATTTATCATATTCAATTTCATTCAAATAGGAACATCAAATGATAGACCAAATACACCATCATTGAAAGAAGTACCATAAATTTCATATTTCTCTGTCTCTTTTACAGCTTTCAATGCACTTGACCTCTCTGCATAATGAATGAAACCAAAATCACGTTTCCCTCCGGCTTTGCCAGGTGGCATGACCACTTTCGTTACTTCCCCATGACGCTGAAATAGCTCCTTTAGTTGATCAGTAGTAACATTCTCAGGTATGTTTTTCACATACAGAGCTTTAACCTAAAAATACCAAAAAACAAGTTCAAAAGCAAAACTTTAATTCGCTTGATATTTTCTCGTACGGACAAACCCTTAAATACATGTAATATGAACACCTCATTTATATTCACATTGTATGATGCTTTCATGTTTCAACAAGTGTTAACACTAATATGTTTTTTAAACAAACAAAACCTGGCATCTGGCAAATCACAATTGTAGTAATTTAAAATATTCACCAATATAATTGACCAAAAAAAAAAACTAAAGACACCTGTGATGGTTCCGAGTACAGTACATTTGCATGTCAAGGAAAAACGTTGGCAAACATTGCAAGAGACAGATAAAGTTGTGATATAAGGGATGCAAGAGAAGCTCTCTGTCATGTGGATAATTTTCTAATGAAGCCGGTGACTAACTGATAAATCAATCTAACAAACTCAGCAGAGCTAACCGACACACCATAGATTGGATATAGATTCTAGCAAGTTGGACAAAGAAGACTTAGCATTCACACCTTGGGATGAACAAACTGATAAAAAAACAAGCAAATCCAAGGGGTAATATCATTTGGTGTAATATTTGAAACTACAGAAATGTTTTGTAAACACTTTTCAATGTCAACACACGTTCGGGCTGTATTGTATATGGTGTTGGTTTTCGTTGGTTTAAAGAACACAGCATTTAAAAATATTGTCAAGAGAATAAAAAAGAGATATCCGATTTCAAAACAAAAATATTTGTGAGAGGAACGAAAGGAGCCATAAGCTCGTGAATAACTGGAGACAGGAGGGAGAAGTTTTTCCTAAAAAATTAAATGTAAGAAAACATTAGAGAAACCAGTTGCAATATAAAAATAAGGTTAAATGACAGTCTATAATAAAAAAGGATTGATTTTCCTTTCTGCAATTTTTTTTTACCGTAATAGCAAATCTCACGCAATCAAATATCATTTATTGAGAATTTAAAAAACCATGCTTCAAGTTTTTATCCATTAATGGCTTTTCCTTTTTGTAGGGCGGGGGTGACAGGGGATTACAGAGAATTACAGAGGAGGTTCTAAGAGCTCGAAAGGGAAAGAAGAGAATGCATACAGAGCAGCCTTAGAAACACCTCATACCAGGACCAAGTGGTCCACACAGGAAACTATAGCCACGTGAGCTAAAACTGTTGGGTATGATCAAGATTGAAGGAAAACGAAAAGAACCAACTACAGGTTATTCACATTCTTTGTGCAAAGTTTGGGCCACTAAAGAACAAGTCATTATAAAGAAAAGCCGCCAATCAATGTTGGTCAACAATTGTTACAACTAAACTAAGTCAACAAAATAGGCCATAGGTACATATCCTACTGATGAACCTACATCGACAGTTACTGTTAAGAACATATCTGAAATTATCTTATTTAATGTTAGATTAACTTAGTTTACCTCGTACGATTAAATTCTAATCTTAAGATAAGTTTCCATCAGAGATGTCAAATGGGCATAGCAGAATTTGAACAACCCACTTTTGTTCTACGATACTCTATTTATTACAAGGTGTTGTCAAATCTGTGTTGTTAACCTCGGATAGCCTGTGTAGCACTGACACCCTAAAATGCTATAGCGAATAGCAGGATAGCTGCTATTACAAAGACTAAAAATCAGTGTATAAACATAAATACTCAAAAACAGAAGAATATCACAAAATTAAAGAGACCATCATATTTAATAGTTAACGGACATAAAATGCAAAGCAATAAAGAAGAACATAGCAGAACCGAACTAAAGGTAGGAAGAAGATCAAAAATATTGTTTGTGAGCAAAAACATCTCAGAATGAAGAACAAAACATTACTCTTAAAAAGATTCAGATTGAAACTTAAACCTTTTAAAGAGGACATTTAAATAATAATGAGGCCGCAATTTTGCCATAACTAGTGGCTGCAACAACAGCTATTGGTGATGGCGTCTCGCAGGCCAAGAGTGTGTCACACTGAAAGCTAGCACTGCTATGCTATGCTATGCTGCCAGTGCATTGACAACATATTGTCAAATAATAGATATAGCGGCATTATGGCACAAGGGAATTTGAAAAACCAGCTATTTTCCATGATTGACAACATTGGTTTCTATATTTCTTAGTTATTATCATGATTTATTTCCTTAATTCTCTATTTATTTAGTATTTGGGGTTTTGTGTTTGTGCAAAAAGGGACACTGGCACTGCTTAGTCTTTGTATCTAATCATTATCAATCATACTACACAATAGTTATACTTCAAAAAGTATTTATTCTTCCTCTTCTCCGTCTTTTACCTAACAGCCATAACTTTGAAGATTATATGCAAGTACCGCATAACCACTGATTCCTCACTCGGACTTGTGATATGCCCTAACATGGAGAATAAGCATCATTATCACTGGCTAAACTTTTTCTAGTCCCAAAAGAATTTATAGATGACAACCAATTCCATTCAATCCTTTGTTCTTTTGAAATAAATGACCAGACCTGATTTACTCAAATTGACAACTCCAACATGTAGCTAAAAATCAGACACATGGCACCTAAGTTATTATAATAAATATTTAATGCAGAGATTATTTGGTGACTTGCACGTCAAAAGAAGAAAAATAATTAAACTTGCAAATACCAATCAATTTCAGTTTTACAGGTAGGCATGAAAAAGAAGAAAAAGAGCAGGAAAAGGGAAGTAATTATCGCCTATAAATGCTCAATCAAACACTTGATGCAATGTAGGAAAACAACAATTAGAAATCACTTTTAAAATCTATATTCCACTTTCATCCAGGAAATTACCTGTGAAGAAGCAGCAGAATTGTCAGGTGAGGTCTTTGGATCTGCCCATGTCACAGTTGGTGTATTTCCATCTAGCTTGAAACTCGAATTTGACATCTTTTGTCGTGAATAATCAGCACAAGCATTGTTGTAATACAAAACAAAAGCAAACCCACGATTTTTGCTTTGATTTTGAGGGTCCTATAATAGACCAAAAAAATGGTTCAGCACTAATAAGTAAGCCTTAAACAATTACATAAAAGCTAGTGGCACAATGAGATCAAGCCCAAACCTTTATGAGGTCAATGCTTTCAACCCCTGGACCAACAGCCTCAACGGCTTTCCTAAACTCATCCTCTGACCATGTTTTTGGAACATTACCAATGAATAATCTGTGTTTGGTTTCAGACAGCGAACACCTCAATGTTTTGCTCTGACATCATGAAAAATGTTAAGTCAGTTAAAAGTAATTGCCAAAATATGATTACTGATAAAAGTTGTCTCAAAGTAATTATAATGAATAATATTTTTCAGACAGAACCACAAATACCTTAAATTCCTTGTTATGTATATCTTCAATGGCCTTTTGTGCCTCCTCCTTTGTTTTAAAAGCCACAAAAGCATAACCCTTGCTGTCTCCGGTTTCCCTGTCTTTGATTAGTTTAATCTGAAAAGTAACAACAAATCAAACTCTTGTTAATAGTCCTAACTTTCCCCTACGCTGAAAATAAAAGCCTCATAATATCACAAGAGCAGTTTATCACTTGACCTCAACAATATCACCCATTGGTGCACACAATTCCCTTAAATCATCATCACATGTATCCCGAGGAAGTCCACCAATAAATACTTCAGAACCATGAGGAGGAAGGGCAAGAAGTTTATCGTACTTCTCTCTTTCCTCCTCATCAATAAGAGGTGATTTTCGCTCATCTTCAGAAGCACGGTCACTCTTTTCTCCTTCAGGAAATTGTTCTTTCCCATCAACATCTACCGCTGACTCCTCGTACTCATTTTCTTCACCACTACCTTCAGCATTTTCATCTTCACCTCCATCCACTCCATCGTCATCTATCTGTTCCTCAACATCGTCATCCATTTCTTCCATATAATGTTCCTCATCGAGGTCAACACGCTCGTCAATTTCCGCACCTTCCGACATGATTGACTAAGGTATTTGTCATAAACAGGCAAACACCTACAGGTTCACCCGTTAATCACAAAACATATATGGAATACTAGGTAACCACTATAACCTATGATGCAGGGACACCAGAAACACACGACATTGACATGTTGACACGGGTAATAATTTTAAAAAATGAATAAATTAAACATAATCACAATTGTCACGGTTGGTGTCAAACACGGACATTGAAATGGACCTTTTTAAGAGGTGTCGGTGCTACAGAGACTAAACCTCTAAAATTGGCGCATTTTTAATCCATCCGGTATCACAGTAAAAGATATCAAAAAAGGGGGAAAAGTCTTCTTAGGGTTTAAGGTTAACAAAAATGATGCTATAGTAAAAGTTGCTTCCAAAAACAACTTAGCAACAACCCTAAATGAAAAAATCCAAAGTAATGAAAAATTCAGACCCAAATTTTCATTTTTGATACAATAAAATAAAACAAAACGAGTTTACAAATGTTGATTACGCATTTAATATATCATCCAAACCCTATAAGCAAGTAAAATTTTACATTTTGCAAATTGTTGAAACAAGAAATGTAAAATTAAATAGATAACAAATCGAATAAGCTATTGTAAATAAATAGAAACAAAATAGTGTAAATTTAATTGATGAGAGCAATAAAAATAAAAAATTTCAGACTTAAACCCTAACTTGAAGAAATGAAGATGGAGAAGAGAAATGTAACATACCAACAAGAAAGATGGTGTGAAATTGGAGTTAGAATTGGATCCAAATGAGATTGGAATTTGAGTATGAATTGATGATGAGAGTGAGAGATTGAAGATGGAAAAAGGGGCATATTTAACTATATATATTTGAATTTGATGAATTTGGGAATATTTATGTGAAAGAAAACAAGAAAAAGGAGTGATTTTGGAATAGCATACCAGTGTTTTTGTGAAATGAAGGGTTTTCAGATTTGCTTCTCACTGTGTTGTGTTCTGCGAATCTTCTTCTTCCTTTGAAGAGAGAGAGAGAGAGAGAGAAAGTTTATCTTGTTAAAAACAAAACGAAATGAGAACATGGACAATACTGTGAAGCAGTCGTTTTCATTTTTGCAATTGTGTACCCGAGCCAATTGTTTTTCTCCACGTGTCTACTTTTCACAATGCATGAATGATATTTTTCTACGGAATTGTTTATTCTATTTATCATAACTAGGGATGTCAATTGGACAGAGAATAAACGGAGGATGTTTTCCTGCTCTCCGCCTCGTCTCCAAATATTTTCTTCATCTTTGTCTCTATTTTCGGTCACGTGAGAATATTTTTTCTCGTCTCCATCCCCACAAATTCTTATGGGGGAAAATCTCTGACGTTGGAGCTCTGAATAGATAATTCTTACGGGATCCCGTTAACATATGCAAATTGACGTTTCTAACCATAAGTAGTTGTAGTGGTAGAAATATTGAGACTAAGTCATTTGACTGACTTGAATCACACAGATCAAATAAAAATCGTCACTGCGCTTTATTGTTTCCAAAGAAATGAGAAAAGAGCGAATAACCCAAAAAGAGAAGGAGAGAATCTAAGTTCGGGAGTTGGTTATGCAAAGAGAAGGTATTAGCACCCTAAACATCTACGGTACTCCGCAGAAACCTCTTTGAAAAATCTGTGTATTTTGGCTATAAAAGTTATATACAAAAATAGATTGTGGGGATGAGAAAAGAAGTATTTTTTTTTACAATTTTTTCGCCTGCCGCGGTTGTGAACATTTAGTGCCTATGTACCACCTTCCGTGCAATAGGAGATCAGGGTACTCGTAGTTCACCTTTAAAAAATTTAAAACACAAGTGTGTTGGTTAATTTTAAGAGACAAAACATCATTGTCTTATCCGAGTGGAAAACATATTTACTACCCACGATTATGAGAAAGGAGAATTTGCGTCATCTCAAAGTGGAGGATATGGCTTGGATTTTAAAATCAACAAAGCATCACTCAACACCCAAGTGGAAAATATCTCACTTCACTATATATCGTAGAAGTATAGTAGTTCGCATCACTACAAGGATTGACAAGAGTCTAATCTTTTGAGAAAAGAGTTTTTAAAGTAAAAGAGCCAAAGTGGCAAAATGGTATGAATGAGATTGATTGACTTTTAGTCTTCTCACAAAAAAGGTTAAGGTATTGTTAAGTTGTTCAAAGTTTGATTAAAGAAAATATTTTTGAAAATGCATAGACCTAAGTCCAAGTTTATTACGAAAGCGGCTCGTGTTTAAAAAACACAAAGAATTTTCAAAAAGAGGGAGAAGATTTTTGAAATTAAAGAAAATGGAAGGAGATGAAGGGACTATCTTAAAGCATAAGGTAAAAGCTAGGGAAAAGAATCGTCTAACCAACAAGAAGCCAACACTTGACATAACTAGTCAATGTAGAATTCTCATCCTTTGGATTAAAACCAAACAAGCAGGGATATTAAACCTCTTAAGAATACCAAACTTCAAATGCATTTAAGTCTTCTAAAAAATTGGGCAGAGTAACGGTTGTATACAGATAAATTCCCAATCACGGGCAAAGCATATAATCAGAATATCTTGCACACAAAGAAAACAAATAACCCAATATATTGGGGTAAACCCTAAGAACTCCAGACAAAATAGAAATAGAAGTCACAAGGTGGTCACGAGGTCAAGGTCTCTAATCTTAAGTCCAAGAAATTCATAACTCCATAATGCCAAAGATAGTAACCAAGTAGTCCGAGTAACATTAAAGCTTTTTATTGTTCAAGTTGGTTATTAAGTATCTTCAAACAGAAAATAAAAAGTTCAAGTGAGCAAAACAAAATGACATAAAGATAAATGCTCAAGTGAGCAAAGATGGAAATAACATGAAATATAAATGTTAAGATAAATGGTGTTTAGAATAAAATCATAAAGTAAAAGCATAGAAATAAAAGTCAATTGTTAATGAGTTAGAAATTAGAGGTTAGTTGAATGACCATCTTGAAACTTGCATTTGAAAACTCATTAGAAGATTGATAAAATCAAAGTCTCTCAACAACAAGTCTCATTTGCTTTTTATCAAGTATATCATTCATTTAAATTCTCGAAGCGACAAATAATCATCAACGATATTTAAGTGATTCACTTTGACCAAAGTTTATGAAGATTCATTAGAGGATTGATCAGACCAAAGCCTCCTAACAATGAATCTCAAGATTATTGGATCAAAAGTTTAAAATTAACATACTTGGGCTTACAAACATGGGTTTGGGTCACGTATGATCATTTCTCGAATCAGGACAAAATTTAGCATTATGTTAAGTAATCGTAAGTGGACTTATATAGAAGTCACACCTATTTTGAGGTCGGTCAATAGCAATCTATGTACCATATTGTGATACGGTGGCAGGACCGACTATTAATACTGGTTTGCGTTTTTTGTTCTCAAATGTCGCGGTAAGCAAGAGTCGCCACCGACTTTTATTTTATCCAATCAGGAAAAGTAAAAAGAACAGAAAAAACATTTTTCGAGATGTTTCTGAGTACAGGGGGTAGATTATAGAAAGGGAAGGTGTTAGCACCATTTCTATCTGTGGTTTTCCACGGGATCTTAGGTACTTGCTCATTTTGAAAACTGTTTGTGTATGCTTGTTTTGAAAAGTTTTGTTTTACTTCGTGTTAACCCTTGTTTCTGTCCTCAAGAGTGTTACGAAGTTGTTTTTGAAAACTTTGTTTAGAAAGTGTTAGTGTGAAAAAAATTTGTTTGTTTGAGCAAGTACCTAGGAACTAATCTACCTACTCGAAAAAGGTCTGTTCGTTTTCCTTTTAGACAATGTTATCCCATTATTGAGAAATAGGTAGCATCATCGTTGGAGTTTTTTAGGGACATTCGAAGGGACAAATACGATCGCAAAAGCAATGTTAGGAAATGTTAGTAATCATCCTAAAGCCTTAAAGATCTTTTTCCGAGGCAACATTTGAAAGGGTCATTTTAGACCTTTCGAGGCTAGAGGACAACCACTAACAAACCTTATACTTCATGACCGTTTACTGAAGGCAACCGGAGTGGAGTAAACCCTAAGAGTGAGTATGTGCGAGTGTAATTTTCATTTAATTTATCTTTGCACATTTATGGTTTTCTACTATTTTAATTTCAGTTTGTCTTTCCATACAATCCTATTAACATTCATCTAAGCAGTTTATAGTTTGCGGAAATTAAAAGCGAAAAAGTTAAAGTCCTAGCTATTACAGGGCTTCGGGGAGGGGGTTACATAACCAAAAACCGGGATTAAACAGTAAATAATATGCGGTAAATTCTAATTAAAAACGATTACAAACCCGAAGCAAATACAATAATTGGAAAATAAAATATTGTGCGCAAGAATTAAGTACGGGAATTAAAGTCTAAATTCTAAAATCTAATCAATTAAAGAGAAAATATTTTTTGTATTTTATTATTGAGAAAAATATTTGAAATCTTAACCTAAATCTAATTAATTAAAGAAAAATATTTTTTGGTCTTTTATTGAGAAAATTAAATATTTGTGAATTAAACCTAATTTGTCTAATTAATTTTAATTATGAAAACAATCAAGTCAATATCAATAAATTAATTATTTTCCAAAAAAAACTAATTTTAATAAAAAACCTAATTCTACATTTTTGTGGTTTTCTTGATTTTATGATTAAATAAAAAAATGACTTTTTTTGTTGTTTTGTAAAAAAAGAAATTAATCAAATAAAACAAAAGAAAATAAAGAAAGAAAGTAATTGGGCCTGTGGTGAAAGCAGATTGGGGGTGTGAAGTTGAATTTCATTGAGCCCAAATCCTTTGGCCCAATCAGGTGTTTGGATCCAGTGCTGGCCACGTTTGAGGGTTCACCATGGTCTGCGTGTGTTGAGTGTTAGATTTGGATATGATGAGATCTTGTGGTATGGTGATGGAAGTGCATGAGGAGCGCGCAGGGACCTGGAGCATTGGATCTGAAGACACAAATTAGTGAAAATTAACCTTACAAAAGGGCT